AAAAAAAGAAAGGAAATAAAATCAGCATATTTCAAGTAAAGTATTTTGAAACATTGACTTCAATCACCTCCCTCTCTTCAAAAAAAATCCCTAGGGGCTGGGAAGGTGGCTCAGTGGTAGAACGCTTGCCTTGCATGCCTGAGGCCCTGGGTTCCATTCCTCAGCACCATATAAGCAAAAAGAAAAAAGCTGGAAGTGGCGCGGTGGCTCAAGTGGTAGAGCGCTAGCCTTGAGCTGAAGAACTGAGGGACAGTGCCCAGGCCCAGAGTTCAGGCCCCATGACTGACCCCCCCCAAAAAAAATCCCTAAACTGAAAAAATACTACTTTTGAGAGATTTTAACAAAATGGGTAACACTAGCTAAATCTTCGGGTTACTTAACATCTACAAACCATACAATCTTGAGCAAGCTATATCACCTTAAGTTTTGTCATTTTTGTTATAAAGCATTAAGGTCCCTAGCAAGCATTTCCTGAATTGTCAGACAAATCATCAGGTAAAACCAAATACCAGTACATCTCTAAAAGGCATATTTAATAACAAGATACGTTTGAGAGAGCTTGCATTCTAGAAATGATACTGGGGTTGACTGAATCAATGAGACTGGAATTAGGGTACTTGTAGAGACAGATTCTTTCAGGTGTGACAAGGTGTCTCTCCACTACAAACCACAAACCACTGCCTCCTACCCCTCTGAGAATTCAGCTCTGGCTCATTCCCCAGTCTAGCGCACTTCTCCTCTCGCCAAGTTGCAGAGTTGGGAGCTTTGTAGAAGAGTCCCACGTGAATCTTGTGCTATGGAAAGCAGCGGCAATAATTACTAAGTTAATGAGATCCTTCCCTCTTGTGCTTCTCTGCCTCTGCCCTTTAGGATAGCAAGTGTTCTTTCAGGATGCACACTCCTATTCAGAATCTGCCCTCCTTCAAATTTACCATGCTTACTTAATTCCAAAGAATACAAGTCCATCAGCCAGTTCTCCAATATCCTATAAACAACTTTCTCTAGAAACTAGGTCGTGTACAAACGTGTAAACTGGAGCCAGGAGTGCTAAGCCGGCTACGTGGTGTAGGAGGGAACTAGAAACGTTCCACGGTAATTCCACTGCCATATCACATGACTCGTCCAACACACATTTCACAACTGCACTACAGTTGTGACTGCGTCCATCTTTCAGCAAGGCAACAGCAATGAGGATGTCACCTCGGTTCACAGCAGAATCAGGCGTGGAACAGAAGCGCAGGCCTCCCCAGCTCTCCTAGTCTGCACAACCCTCTAGCCTGCCCGCGAACCTTCCCGAGCCAGCTAGGTTCCGGCACCTGGAAGGACACTGATTCTGGCAGAACCGACTCTGACAAAGCAATCACGACCCCAGGCACAGTCACCCAGACCGCAGGGACCCGGCAGTGCGTGGAGCCTCCAGGCTACCCGCCCGGCTCCAGCTGCCGCCTGCAGCCCGTTTTCCTGCCTGCCTGCCATCCACTCACATTTCAGGTCCCCAGGTTCGCCAGGCACGGCGGGGCCTCTTGACACCCCGGCTCCGGCACTCAGAACACTGAACTCTACTTCAGAAACTTCCCAGGAGCGCGGCACAACGCCAGGAACCGGAATTTCTGAGCGGAAAATGCCCTAAATGGGCGCGGAAGCGCATGCATGGGAGGAGCCTGAAAGAGCCCCGCCCAATGGTTCTGTGCCCGAGAGGAGACTACATTTCCCACTATGCATTGCGTCATACGGGAGGAAGTGGACATGTAGGTTTCTTACTTAACCTGTGATTGGAGGTCGGTGGCCTGCTGCAGCTGTGTGGGGACCTATCTATCCCACCTGGGCCATGTGAGTGGAAGTACTTCCTGGAAATCCTGGTTTTCCTCTGAGACCAACTACAAAATTCAGCACTAAATAATCTTGCATATAAATTTCTAGTTTTCATACGGTGATCATGGCAATCATCCGCGTCTTTATCTAACTATACCTTTTGATGCACCTTATAGTGTGTATATATCTATAGATATATACATATATATACATGTATCTATATATTATAGATATAGATATGTATCCATAGATAGTATATATCTTTCTATATATACTATATATAGCACCGTAATATATATATATATATATATATATATGCTAGCACCATATACTAGTACAATGTGTATGTATATACATATATATATACACTTATATACATATGTATATATACACTATATAGTATATATACTATAGTATATATACTATGTGCTTCTATATACTATACATAGTACATGTATGTATATATACATATGTATGTAGTATACTATGTATAGACTTGTAGATATATAGAATACATCTACAATACTATGTATAGATATGTAGATATATGTATATATAGGTATATATCTATAGATATATCTATACTGTGTATAGATATATAAAATACATATACATATAGTATCTACATATGTATACCATAAGCTCATGTGCTTCTATCTCATTCACTCACTCATTGGAGAGATCTGGAACCCAGGCAGTCTTAAGAACTGAAGAGTAGAAAGGAAATAAATTAGTGCCTTTACCCACAAGGACTAGGAGCACATGTTTTCTGTCATATGAACATCTTGGGCAACAACTAACACTTCCCATGTAAACACACATGGGGGCATGTGCACATATACTTGACCAAGTTTACTAAAGCATAATATACCAAAAGTAAAACCATTTCCACAAAGAATTTAACTAAATGAATATAAATGCTGAAATGTTTGAATGTGGAATTAGTGGGATGGGGGAAGATGAATGGAAAAGTAAAGGTAGGCAAATGTAGTTCTTATTCCCAAGTACATATGTTAAAACAAAAGTGGGAAGCTTCGCATGGCTGTTGGGGAAGGAGAATGAAGAAAGGGGTGACAGATCAAGATGCCCTATACACATAGTTATAAGTTGTAACAGACTTGGACAAGCATTTGAAGATAAAAAATTAAATTTAAAAGTTGAAATTGAAAAAAAAAGACAAGAAATTAGTACGTATAAGAAGAAATTGAGAATTTTGCGCCAGTGTCTCTTGTCTGTAACCCTAGCTAGTCAGAAAGTAGGGACCTGGCTCAAAGCCAATCAACCAACAGAGAAAAGTCTCTGGGCTACCATCTACAAGAAAGGACTGCTATGCACTAGAGAAAAATAAAATTGTCTTCAGGATATCTCAGAAATTGGCTAAATTCTAGCCATCTGCAACTGAAAATACCTTAAGGCAGGGTTTTTCCTCCCTTTTAGAATGGAAATATCTAATCACATTTTTATCTTATGGGGGGTATAACCGGTGTTTGACTTTACAGGAACTCACAAGAGCTTTCCTCCAGTGTATGAAGAAATTTTGGGCTGCTGTGGGGAACTAGAGAAGATGGACAAAAGTCCAAAGGGCAAAGAGTGGAATCATATAGTTATGAAGAATTTTGGGTTCCAAGTTAACAAAACTTGTGATGGATGTATTGAACATCAATAGGATTGGATTGAGAAGCAGCTAGGAGATTAGGAAAGCACTTCTGTTAAGTTAGTAAGGGTTTTGTTCCAAGAGGAATTAACAGAGTTTGAGAAGATCGGCACTAAATGAGAACACTACCATCAGATCTTGGGATCCTGATAGAAAGAAACAGGCAAAAAGCAGAATGCCAGGAATGTAGATTTGTTCTCATTCTCATTCCCTCCCTCTACCTCTACTTCTAAGGCATCATTAAGTGAGAAGCTTCGCTTTGCTAAAAACCTCCCCAAATGTGAACAAACTAAATCTTTCCTAAGTTGTTTATATCAGATCTGTCCTCAGACATCCAACCCTGGCAAACCAGATGGTGGGTAGCTTGGTCTTCAGAACAGACCAACCATGGCATTTGCAATTCCGTGAATGGCCTCTCTAATCTCTAGGCTTTTCAGCACTGGGCAGAGAGCCCCCTCCACACAGCAAGGCACTAGGATGGCTGTGAGAAGTTACTAAGACTCAGCCTCCTCACAACAAAACATTCCTTGTAGCCTAGAATCTAGAGAGTGTGATGGGCACTAAGTAATGTAAGGCCATAGGAATCAGTAGGGTCATATAGAACACCCAGAATGTTATATCCTCTGGATGAGCTGGAGGAGAGCAAAGTAGACAATTCAATTCAAGAAGAGGCTGGAGTCCCCTTGCAGTTAGCAACTCAGAAGCTGGAAGAGCAGATGCATCAAGGGCAGAGATAATTCTCTAGAAGATGAGACCATAACATTATAGGTGCACAAGGCAGTAAGGTCATCTTCTACCATCTGCAGGTCAGGCCTTAAAGATCACATTCACAGGGAAGTAATGAGTTTGCTTGGTGTGTCCTATGGCTGCATCAGGCAGCACCCACTTCCCTGCTCCACCAGTGACCAGCCATTGTATCCTTGGCCATCCACATCACTCACAGCCTCACTTATCTTTGTTAATTATTCTGCCCCCTCATGGCTGCTGTTGAATGTCCCTACTGATTTTTTAAAATAACATTCCTAAACTCTGCATCCAGACTGTTTGGTTTCTGTCCATTTCAATGTCCATTTGGAAGCTTCAATAGTTGAAATATCCTCCAATGTAGGTGGATGCTGGTCTCTCAGAATGTCATGAACAAGATACAAAAATCAAATAGTCAATGACTGTGTCTGGAAATGATGCAACAGGATGCAATAAAGACAACTCAGCTACATATTTCAAAATAGAAAATTCTTCTTCAAGGCTGGGAAGGTAGCTCAGTGGTAGAGCGCTTGCCTTGCATGCATGATGTCCTGGGTTCAATTCCTCAGCACCACATAAGTAAAAAGAAAAAAGCTGGAAGTGGCACTGTGGCTCAAGAGGTAGAGCGCTAGCCTTGAGCTGAAGACCTGAGGGACAGTGCCCAGGCCCAGAGTTCAGGTCCCACGACTGGACCAAAAAAAAAAAAAATTCTTCTTCACTACTTGATTCCAGCAAGAGCAGAAAGAAACAGTATAACTATGAGATCACAATAGTTTTTAACTATGCAACTTTGATCCTTACCATGATGAATTGTAACAGGATCTCATATACTGTTTTTGTTTTTTGGGGGGGTCCGGTCGTGGGACCTTGAACTCTGGGCCTGGGTGCTGTCCCTCAGCTCTTCAGCTCAAGGATAGCACTCTACCACTTGAGCCACAGTGCCACTTACAGCTTTTTCCTTTTTGCTTATGTGGTGTTGAGGAATCGAACCCAGGGCCTCATGCATGCAAGGCAAGCGCTCTACCACTGAGCCACCTTCCCAACCCCTCATATACTGTTTGTGTGTGTGTGTGTGTGTGCCAATACTGAAGCTTAAACTAAGGGCCTGGATAATCTCACTTTTCTTGCTGTGCGAGGCTGGTCTTCTACCACTTGATCCAAAGCTTCAACATCTACCTTTTTCTGCTTAATGGAGATGAGAGTCTCACAGAATTCTTTGCCTGGCAATCTCCAAACCTCAATCCCTAGATCTCAATCACTTAAATATCTACAATTACAAGGGTGAGCCATTAGCTCCCTGCTATCACATATTTTTCAAAGGATTTCAAGATAATGAGTCAAGAGACAAATTTTTTCCACCCATACACAATTTCAGGAAATTGATTTCTGTATTCATTTAACAAATATTCACTGAAAACGTCCTATGGGAGCCTCAAAGGCAGAATAGGAGACCACCCTACATACACATCAGAAGTGGTAGAACAGGACAGTGCCATCTTGGCCACGTGGCAGGGATGGTAGGGAGTTGAGTTTAACTGGCACCATCTTGTTTTCCTGGTAGAGGCAAGACAGTTTCACAAACCAGATAATGGGCATGCCTGAATTCCTAGAGGCAGAGGCAGAAGCAAGGACTTGGGCCATAGGTTACTAGACCTGCCAGTCTTGGGTCATGAACTCTGAGATTCCTGTGACCTTGCCCCTTGATATGGACTCTATTTAGGCCCAGACAAGCTCAGGCACCATTATGCCATGCCTTGAGTTTCCTGTCTTCATGTCTCCTAGCTCTGCTCGGTCATCATGGCATCCCACTTCAGCTCTCCATTAGAGTTGATCTGGTTTGTTGGTATTATTTTTCTGATCTTTTCTTTCCTTTCCTGCTCTCATGGCTAAGTTTTCTAACAGTGTAAAGTGTATTCATGAGGCTGCAGGTCTTTGTGACAAGAGTCTACCTGCTATTGCCAACTTTCCAGTAGACTACCAATTACACCTTTCAAAACATGGCTTCTCTGTTTTCTTGCCATACAACAGTAAGTCTGGAGGATGAGGAAAACAGAAAAGTCTGGTCTTAATTCTAGGAAGGAAGTCTGGGACTGTGGGCCACTGGTAGAGCATGTGCTTAGCATGGTCAAAGCCCTGTGTTGACAAGTTCATACCTGCAATCCTATTGCTGCAGGCTCACACCTATAGGTGCACACCTGTAATTTCAGTTACCTAGAAGGCTCTGAAGACTTCAAGACTAAGTCAGTCCAGACCAGGTTCCTGTGGCTCATGCCTGTAATCCTACCTCCTTAGGAGACTGAGATCTAGGGATTGCAGTTTGAAGACAGCCAGGGCTGTCTGTGAGTCTCTTACCTTCACTACATT